GCTGCCCCAGCATTTGTGGGCAGGACACCTCACCCTGCCCTAGCTGCTCCAGGATCCTGAAGCCTGGGTTGGAAAGGACCCTTCAGGGTCCTCACTATATACACTGTGGTTCAGCCCTGCTGAGGCCTTAAGGTTGGTGGCACTCTGTCACACTACTCCGATGACTTCCCCAGGATTATCACTCTGCCAGCTGGACTGATGGGGGACCCAGGCAGAACTGATTTTTTTCACTATTATTTTTATTTTTGTTTTATATGTATGAGTGTGTTGCCTGCATGCATGCAAGTGCACCTGTATCTGCAGTGCCCACAGAGGTCAGAAGAGGGTGTTGGATTCCCCTGGAACTGGAGTTACGGATGGCTGTTAGCTGCCATGTGGGTGCTGGGAATCGAACCTGAGTCCTCTGCAAGAACAGCCAGTGCTCTTAACTGCTGAGTCATCTCTCCAGCCCCACAGAACTGATATTTTTGAGAGCCTTGCTGAGTCCCAGGCCACAGAGTCCCTAGCCAGTCACTGGCCTGCCCGGCCCTTTCTCCAGCCGTTGCTTGCTGGGTACCTCCTCCAGTGTCAAGGCACTACATCCCCTGTGCTCATCAGCCCAGGGCCCACATCATCTTCTCCAGGAAGCCTCCCATCCCTGTTCCAAAGCCCCCAGATGTGTTCATTCTCAGTCTGTGCATAGTGTCTATAGACATAGCAGGGTGGAACTTTGGTCTGAAGAGGAGAGGTTGTCCCCAGTGGAGAGTGTGTGCATGTCTTATACACGCAGGCTAGTGTGTGCTAGTGGGATATGTTCAAACATAGCAGAAGCAGGGCTCCTGATGAGTGGCTGAGGAGGTGTGCAGGCTGTGGGGAGCCTGGCTGAGCCCCTCTGCATGCCTAGAAACCCAGGATGAGTAAGCTCCCCAACACTATCCCCAGCAAGCCCAGGTGTGACCTTCTGCCTGAGGCCTGCCCCTGAGGTCAAAGCAGGTTTTGAGGGAGATGCAGGACTGTCCCCACCCAAAGCAGGGATGGCATAGCCAGGCCTGTGGTCTAGGCAGAGGAAGGAAGTCAGTGAGGAAAGGCCTCCAGATCTGGGACCCCTGGAAGAAGACACTGAGGCAGAGAGGGAGGGAGAGAAAGGGAAGGAGAAGTGCTTGGCCCTGGGCTTTGTGGGAGGGAGAGCAGGGCCAGGGCAGGTTTGTGAGTGTCCCCACCTGGTACACGCCACTCAGCACCACAGTGGGCCTGAGTCCTAAACACCCCTTCCTTGTGTTCAGAGAGGTCAGGTCAGCAGAGAGGAGTGAGGGAATGAGGCAGGAACTAGGAAGTTCAGCGAGCACCGGGAACTGCCCTCCAGGAAGCTCCACTGGGGCTTGGGAGCTCCATCTCCCTTCTGCCCATAGAACCACTGCTCTACTCAGGAGAGGAACGCTATGGGTACTGCCAGCCCGTCGGGGAGCTCTCTGCCTCCCTGGAGCTTTGAGAGGTCCCTTTCCCCCTCTGGGCTTCTCTGTTCTCATCTGAGAATCAGAGATGACAGAAATCAATCCAGTAATGGGCTCCTACACAGATCTAATAAGGAGGTATCCGAGCCAGAGCTGGAACTGTCAGCAGCGGCCCGTCTGTGAAGTGACAAGGCACAGTGTTGTCTCTGGGTGGCCCACAGGACTGACCACACAGCCCATCGAGGACAACCGTGATTCCATGGGGCAAAGGAAAGAGCCTGTTCATGCCCAGTGCCTGGAAGACAGTCTACAATCCCTGTCACACATCCTGAAGTCAAGGCCTGGTACTGCCCATAGCACCTTTCACAGCTGAATATGCCCTGTGCTGGATCACAGCGTGCTGGCTAACTCCACTTCTCAGGGATTGCCAAGAGACTATATCCCCATTGTGCTCTGTTCCCACAGACAGTGAACCCCGTCTGTCCTGCCCAGGCAGATTTTCCATGAACCCATCTGTACCAGCTGATCACTCCCCAGCCCTCCGGAGCCCTGTTTGAGAGCTAGAGAAGAGGAGGATCTGCATCAGAGATCATGAGTGGGGCCTCAGGCTCTGTAGGGACTCAGCAGCCGGGGCTTTCTGCCCTACTCGGGTGGAGTGTGGGGCCCGTGTTTGGACACAGTGAAGAAGGGTACGGAGGGGCAGCCCTCTCTTCCCGCCTGCTTAATCTTGGGGCTTTATCGTTTGGGAGTGAGGGAAAGACATGTTTACATGGCCTCGCATTTGTTTCAAATTATTCATCAGTGTTGGCGAGTCATTGTTCCCTGCTAGTGTAAACAGTCCTGTCCCAAGGCCCAGTCATCCTGCCAGATCACTGAGGGCCTGTGGATGTGTTACATCAACTGCCCTTTGGTTCATCGCTTTTGGTGAGGTACAGAGCTGGGCCAGGCCAAATGGTTGCAGATGCCCTATGAAGCCAGCACTGGAGGGCCCATTTTCCCTTTGTTTGCCTTACAATGGAGCCTTTGCTTGGGCTGGAGAGGCCAAGGTAAGGGCCTGAGAGTTGGGAGAAGAGAAGAAGTGAAGAATGGCGGCGGGGGAGGGTGGCTGGCTGCGTCCCAGATACGTGGCTGTGGTCAGGGCTCATGGTCAGGTGTGTCCTAAGACCCAAGCATAGTGTCTGCCTGCCTCCCTGGGTGCTATTAGGCTAGAGATGAGACTCACCACAGGGACACTTTCCACACTGTTCATGGTCAGTGTACCTGGGTCTCAGGAGTTGTGTGCTCAAGTTGATCCCAGACTCAAGATCAGGGAAAGAGAGTAGTTTCTTCAAAAGACTGGTCTGAACACACTTGTAAGCGCAACGAGCCTAGCAAGAGGGTCACAAACTCAGGCTCTGGAGCTCTGCCTTGGTTCTGAGTTCTACCTTCGCTCTGGCCTCCTATATGGGTCACCCGGGTCATTTCAGTTCTCTGAGCCTCTGAGATCTGTGGATGAAATGGAGTCAGTAACACACCCCATTACATGCTGCTAAGAGGCTCAAGTGAGGCCCCTCCATGCACAGTAAGCACTCAGGATGCTGGCTTCCTGTTGTCCCCCTGATGAGGGGACAGCACCTAGTACACAGTTGCAGGTTGGACAGAGAGGCATGGAAGAGAGGTGGCACTTTCCCCCTGCACGACGGGGTGTCCTTAGCAAAGTACCAGTGGCACTCAGCCTGCAGGGAGCCATCAGCAAGACTGTGAAGGAAGGTATTCAGAGTACTAATCCTGCCCGTCCTTCCTGGCCTCCAGGGTCAGCCACTTGGGCTCAGGGAGTCAGATCCCATGGTTCCTCCCAGCAAGAGCCACCTTTACATGTGAGCTGGAGCAGTTGGTGGCTTTTAGAGTTCAGAGCTCTGTTTCCCTGTTCTGACAGCCATACGGCTGACATTTGAGCTTGCCAGAGAATAATGACACACCACGCTGTGGTCCTCAAAAGCAGCAGCGGTCTCCTGGGTGGTAAAGTGGTCTTCTGTCCTCAATCCTAAATAGGACCCAGCTGACAGCACTCCAGAGCCAACCTGTCACCCAGTTCAGCGCAGGTCATCGCCTGCCTCTATCTTCTCACATCCCTTTGGTCCCAATAGCAAAAGATGTCTTTGCTGAGGAGCATTGGAAATGTTCAGTGCAAAGCATGTGTGTATACATGCATATGTGTGCATGCATGTAAATAAAATGTGTGCGCACACACACACACTGTGTATTTGTGTGTATAGGGATTGGCTAAAAGCTGCCAGTAGCTCCAAGTTCACATTGCTTTGTGGTTTTATGTATTTTCCTATTAAAATGACAATACACCATGGAGCATTAAGGTTTAAGACGCCCTTCTTTCATTAAACAAACCGACAGAGTAGGGGGTTATGACTCTGGTAATTGAAACGTGCTGTTCTGCTCAGGACCAGAGCTCCATAAAGGCTCTTTTCAGTCAGTCGCACCCTTTATGCCAGCGGCCTCCGGTCAGAAGTGAGTGCCGGCCCTGAGCCGGGTCCCTCCCGCAGAGTGGGAAAGACCTCTTGGCAGCCTTCCCGGGCAGTCCTGGCAGCCAGAGGTCAGAGCCTTTGCAAATTTTCCCCCACCCTCTGGGCTTTTGAAATCAATCCGCTGGGCCCAGAGCCTCAGGGTAGCGCAGCTGCCCTGGCCTCCAGCTTCTTGCTGGCTCCAGGATCTTGTGCTGCCAGCTGTAAAGCGCAGGTAGGTTGAAGAAGTGAGAAATGATGGGCTGTGGTTAGCCAAGCTCCATGTTTTGGGGAGACGCTGCAGTCTGTATTGGGAGGGGCGTCTGGTGATGTCTAAGAGAGCCCAGGTTTGGGAGTCAGTCTGCCAGATCTGAAGTCTACCCCTGCCATTTACCATATGTGGGACTTTCCACAAGTTACTCAGATTCCTCATGCAGAAGTGGGCTGATATCTAGGTCTGGTAGGATTGGGACGAGGACTAGAGTTAGCATAGGTAAGATGCTTAGAACTATGCTGGGCAGACAGGAAGCGACCACAGCGCTGTAGCCCGTTTAACTGACTACTTCTATGATGTCACTTTGGGAGGTTCCATCATGAAGGATCACCATGACTACCATGAGATACCTCTGTGGAGTACAACCATGCAGTGGTACCCATAGAGTACCACTGCACAGCACTGCCATTGTGTGACACCAAGAACAGCCTGTGCAGCACCTTTGTACAGTACCACCATGGATTCCCTGTGTGCATCACTTCTATGAAGTACTACCATAGTGTCGGACCACAGAGTCTCCATTACAGTGCCAGGGGGGTCCCTCCATGCAGCACCACTGTGACGCACCACTACAGCCTAGTGCCATGAAGTACTCCCTGTGCGATACCCCCTTAGCATGAGTCATGGAGTACCTCTCTGCAGTACCATCATAGCATGGTGTGCCCCCCTGCAGTACCACTGTAGTGTGGTACCCTCAAGAACCCCTGTGGAGTCCCTTTGGTGCCTGCTGGAGAAACTGTGTGTATACCCCACCAGCTCCAGGTGTGACTTCTCCTCTCCCTTCTCTCTCTCTTCTTACAGATGTGGACGAGTGTCAAGACAACAATGGCGGCTGCCAGCAGATCTGCGTCAACGCCATGGGCAGCTATGAGTGTCAGTGCCACAATGGCTTCTTCCTCAGTGACAACCAACACACCTGTATCCACCGCTCCGATGGTGAGTATGGTCCATGTCGACCAGGCATGCCTCCCATGCCCATGGAAACAGGCAGCACTCTCCACATGTGGATTCTAGGGGCCTTGGGGTGAAGGCCAGGGGTTTGGTGGTGGCCGGGTGGCTTTGTTTTGGCACCAGTATTGGTTCTATGTGGAAATCCTCCTAGCTCCTTCCCTCTACTGGCTTTTGGTATTCTTTCTGTTTGTATGTGAAGAAGAGGTAGGGCCACAGGTAGCATATGTTACCAAAGAAGCTGCCTTCTATTCCAGATAGAAGCTGGCTATGGCCAGGAAGAGTAGGAACCCATGTTTCTTGGACCTCTTTTCTATGGGGGTTGAGGCCTACCTAGGCTGTGTGTCACTTTTCTTCTCTCCATAAGCCTACACAGCACCAATGCCTATCTACTGTATGTGCCTAGGTCACCAGCCAGCTGAGGGACCATGTGGGTGGGAGTTAGCTGTCCCCTGGAGGGCCAGGTGGGACGACAGTCTTGCCTGGGGAAGTACTGAGGGACGGGGGTGACTCTGGGCAGGCTGAAGCTCAGTGGACTAGGGCAGATGTAGGGTGAGATACAGCTGGCCACCAGCTAAGCCCGGCAGGTAAATGTGCTTGGTGTCAGGCCACTGATGGTCAGACCCTGAAATTTGGTGATGTGTGGACCCAGGACAGCAGGGCTGTGAGGCGGGTAGAGCTGACCAGAGACCAACATACATGTACTTGGAGGAGAGGAACCCAGGCAGAGGAAACAGCATCTGCAAAGGCATAGGGTCATCAGTTGCTTAAGGTAATAGAGTCCCAAGATAAGGATGTATGCTGTGGGAGAAAGGCCTGGCAGGAGTGACAAGAGCCAAGGCTCTGGGGGCGTGCTGTCCTGAATGATCAAGGCTAGAGGCTTAAAGGAGTGAGAAAGACCAGCCCACTGTCCCTCCCCTTGTAACTGGCTATGCTTCTGTGATGTCACTTTGGAATATCCCATTGTGGAGAGTCACCACGACTACCATGAGGTACCTCTGTGGAGTCCCACCATGCAGTGGTACCCATAGAGTACCACTGCACAGCACTGCCATTGTGTGACACCGAGAACAGCCTGTGCAGCACCTTTGTACAGTACCACCATGGATTCCCTGTGTGCATCACTTCTATGAAGTACTACCATAGTGTCGGACCACAGAGTCACCATAACAGCTCCAGGGCAGCTCCATAGTCCCTCCATGCAGCACCTCTGTGGAGCACCCCCATAGCATAGCGCCATGGCATGCCCCCATGTGGTACCACCATAGCATGGCGCTATGGCGTACCTCCATGCAACATCATGAAACTGACCTTTAACTAGGTACTGGAGGTTTGAGGCCAAGGAAGGGCTTCCCTTGAGTGTATGACCCAGTGGATAGCCCAAGGAATGCTCATACTCAAAGTTGAGGAGCAAAGAAATTTCATACTAGGCTCAGGTCAGCAGGGTCTGGATGTGAACCAAACTCCTCCAACCCTCACTGGGACAATTCCTCAGCCAGCTCTCTGTATGTCCTGAGTCCCAGATTTCTCATCGACAAAACAGAGACCATGGCACTGAGCCAGCAGAGTGTCTGAAGCCAGAAGAAGACCCTGGTATGGCCTGCTGGTGTTTGTGAAGCTACCATAGGCTGTAACATGGGACTCTCTGGTTTCTGTTCTAAAATGATTCCTGAGAAAATAAAAGGCAAAAACGTTTGAAACGTTCAAAGCTCAGGCAGTAAACCAGATATGTTCTAGTAGATTCTAAGATGCCCAGGATTTTTTCTGGCAGTTTCCTCACAGGCACGTCTGGCTCACAGACCTGACCCCTGGCACAGCAGTGTCCCCAGAAGGACGTGAAAGCCAAACTCCATGGCTCCTGGACACTTGCTGCCGTCACCGGGGCCCATGATGGTTCACTTGGTTCCTTAGAATCACCTAGCTGTGGTGCCATGGTCTAGCAGAGCCGCCCAAGATGGAGGCTGGTGGCATAAATGAGGACCTAGCCTACACAGGGTCCTAAGAAACAGGTCCATGAGACAGACAGGGAGTGCTTGTAGCAAGTGCCTGTGGGGAGGGTCCTGCTTGTATTAAGGTGGGGTGTTTCTCAGAGCAGCTGCTCCCAGAGGCTCTGGAGTCCTCAGGTCAGGCTCCAAGAGCTGCTTCTCCCACCAGGGCATGTGCACAGTTCCTTCGTTTGGAAGACGCCTTACTCTCAGGTGGGATGTGATAAAGTGATGCCCCTGGTTGAAAGGCAAGCACAAGGAACAGGGTCAGTTGGATGGAAGAGGGTAGCTGTAGCTCGTTTGTTCAGCCTTGTCAGCATCTGCTGGGGTGAGAGGTTACAAGTTTTGGTGTTAGCCACAGAAGATGGTTTGGGTGATAAGGAGGGTAATGAGTTACTGTCAGGGCACAGGCCTGAGCACCACCGCAGACCAGCTCATTCCAGCCTCACAACTGCCCCTCGAGGTAGCTGGGTGTGACTCTGCTGACAGGGAAGGAAGCCAGGTTGGGAGAGCAGAGTCGGGATCAGAGTGCATCAGTGCTCAAAGTGGGGCGTCTCTTCAGATGGTGATAAGACACTTCAGAAAAGAAGCAGGCAGTGAGATGGTGGCCAGGGACGAAGGCCTCTATGTGGAGATCACATTTGTGCCTAATCCAAAGGACAAGAGAGAGCTACATCCAAGAACAGGGCAGCGCAACAGGCAGGGTTTGTACAAAGGCCTGGAGGGAGGAAAGGATGGAGAGACACAATAAACAAAGGGAGAAGGGCACAGGAGAGGGGCTGACGGCCCAGCCATGGTGGGGACCTAGAGGGTTGTAGGGAAGACTTTGGGTGGCCTGCCATGGGCAGTCACAGGAAGGAACAGAGGCAGATGCCAGAGTGGGGGGAGAGTAGGTAGTTTCTAGGGGAGCCCAGGAACTCTGGGAGCTGAAAGCGGAAGAATTGTGTACTGGCTGGTATTGGGAAGAACCCTGAAAACACAGCTCACCCCGCCCAAAGGGCCCCTGGACCTTTCCCAAATGAGGAATGCAGATTTAGCCAGGATACAGGTATAGCAACCTCAACCCCAGCCTGTGTCAACTTGTCTATAGGTGAGAGAAGACCCTTGTCTTGTTGGGATCTTTGGGTGGAACCTCCGATTGTTGTAATCTGGGCAGTGAAAACCCAGTGGGGAACTTCTTGGACTGTCCTGCACGACAAATGCAGACCTGTTGGAGTTTTCAAGGTGGTGAGGGAAGTGCAAAGGGGGACAGGGTGAACACACAAGACGCAGGCCAATGGCTCACAGTGCCCAGGGACGATAAGGACGTGGTACCTAGGAAGGCAGGTTGCCTACCTCTCTGAGCCACAGTCTGTGGTTGTGACAATTGCTACAACAGTAAGAGTTACCCTGCCAGGCGTGCGAAGACAGCGCTCTGTGGCACCGGAGTGACCTCTGATTCTGTGGCTCCTGGGAAGGCAGATGGATTCAGAGGCCTTCAGCAAATTAGATTCCTCAAGTTACCTGACCCGTCTAATGCCTGTCCAGGTCTCTGGGCTTTCCCCCTCACCCCCAGGGGGAAAGAGCACAGACTGGTTTTAATTAGATGGAGCCGGATGCATGCAAGGGGTAGGCCAAGGTCAGTCCCAGCTCCTGGCTGAGAAACAAGGCCACAGAGCTCAGCTCTTCTGAGTGGTCTAACTTCCCAGGCGCCAGCATAAACCCTGGTCTGAGGCTCATGGACCTAGCCCAAACTGGGCTGGGAGTGTTAGGCTGCCCTGTGGCCTCCGTTGTCACTGCCTCTTGAGGTCCTTTTGGCTATAAAGAAAAAAAAAAAGGGCCCAGTTAGTCCTCTTGGTGAGGGGTGGGGGTTGAGCTTTGAAGCAGTCAAGGGCAGAATCTGCCCTAGAAGGCGGAGTGACATGTAGGCAACTCTTTCAGATCCCGGAACTCGGGCTTGACTTGACATGAGGTAACACTCAGGGCGGCCCTGGGTAGGAGGGGACCCAGGGCTGTTGGAGTCTGGCCAGTCCCTCTGCTTAGCACTTCCTGGTACTGATTCTGGTGCCTTGACAGCCCACACTGGCCTCGGCTCCGCCTCAGGCCCAGCAAATGCTGACAACCCCTCCTCTGGCCCTCAGCCCTGGAGCCAGTCCAGGCCCAGCCCAGCCTCTGCTACCCTAGGCCAGCCACGTGCCTGGCCACCCAGGGGCTAACACCTCTGGCTCTCTCCCTCTCCCACTCTGGCCATTATGTCCTTAAATATGCCAAGTTCACACTTCAAGAACATATGGCCTCCAGGGTGACTTTTGTCTTTTCCTCAGGGAAGAGTTCCATCCTTGACCAACACTGACTATCTCTGGAAGGGTCTATGAAAGGCCAACATCTACCAACTGTGGAGGGAAGAGGGAAGGTGGCCTCTCATCTCTCCACTGACTGATTCATTCACTCTTCACATGCCCAGGGCCTGGTCTTAGGAGTCTAGGCCAGAGCCCTGTGAGGCTTTCAGTCCGGAAAAGGTCTGAATGTAAAGTATAGTTTAAGTGTTAACTATACAATCGTGCACTGAACAAATGCCTTGGGGATTCTGGGGTTTTGATTTCCTCATCTGAGGGGTGACCAGCAAGGCCATCATTACCACGATTGCCCCATTGGCTGTGGAGGAGTACTGCTCTGAGCAGCATGGCCAATGGAGTGTGGAGGCGATGCACCAGCCCCTCATGCTGAAAGTTAGCCGGCAGCGTGCTGCTCAAAGCCTCACCGATCGCCTTCCGTGTGCCGGCCTTGGCACCGGCTGAAGGCACCAGAGTGAGAGGAAACCTCACTTTGTTCCCACAATTGTAGGAAGCAGCACGGGCTCCCCAAGGGGTCTTCAGGGGCTTGGCTGGCCTCAACCTCTGGCATAGCTGGACTGCAGATGTGCCCTACCACACCTGGCTCCCAAGGCCCTTTGACACTCTTGTTCTCCATTGCTGTGACAGGAGCAGGAGGTTGGGGGCGGTGCGGCTCCTTGAAGCCAGGGAG